CAGAATTACGAGATATAAAGTCAGAATTGCGAGATATAAAGTCAGAATTACAAGATATAAAGTCAGAATTGAGACATTATTTCTCAGAATTGTGACTTTATATCTCGTAATTCTGACTATATCTCGCAATTGTGACTTTATATCTCGCAATTGTGATTTTATTTCTCACAATTCTGACTTATATCTCGCAATTGTGAGATAAAAAGCCGCAATTATTTTTTCAGTGGCGGAAACAAGCTTCCATAAAAAACAGCATTGATTTGAAATAGAAATTTTTTGTTACATTTAATGTGTCTTAAGTTTTCATTTTATTTTTAAATCTTACTGACCCCAAACTTTTAAAAGATTTGCACAGTACTTCATTAAACATGTTTTTCTCCAAGGTTATCTATGAAGTAGCCGTGATAACAGGAGATGTCCAGCATGCAGGAACGGACACACAGATCTATATGACTGTGTTTGGAGTCCACGGCACGTCGGAGGAAATGCTGCTGCCAAAGTTAGAGGACAGGTACGTATGTACTGTACATGCACACTAAGAAACACAAGAGATAGTGTACAGTCAGCTGGTAATTATTGCAAGATAAATGTAAAGTTTTATGCATTTTATTTAGCAAACATTGATTTGAGCTATGAAAATAGAAGGAAATTAGTGTCACTATTAGCAAATAGGTTACCAGAGTCTCATACATGTTTAAACGGTGTGTTTAATGTGTGTGTGTATATGTGTGCAGGTTTGAGCGAGGGCAGAAGGACACATTCAATCTGGAGATTGAGGATATCGCTCCTTTGAGAAAGATGAGAGTGCGTATAGATGGTTCTGGCAGCAGACCCGACTGGTTCCTGGATAAGGTTTGTAAGAGAAAGATACATACAGTCTACTGTAACTTCCCAAGCCTTTGAGTGTATTAACGTGCACATCTATGTAGGTTGAACTGCATAACCTGCAGTCAGATGAAGTGGCAACATTTACATACGAGGAATGGCTGTCTCGCTCATACGGGCCCAGGCGAACCCTCATATGTGAAATGCCTGCTGTGATAGATGATGAGGAAATGGTGGAGCTCACCATCTACACCGTTTCTGTGAAGACCAGCGATTCAACTGGTACGCAATTCCTCACGGTCTGCAACTATTTTGAGGGTTTGTTTACACTTGGCATGTTTGGTTTGATTAAATCGAACTCTGGTGCGATTGCTCTGCTAGTGCGGTTCATTTGACTGAGTGTGAACTTCCAGAACAAACTCAGGGTGGTTCGACTGAAATATGAACACAACAGGAACCAAAGACATCAAATCGAACCAAAAACAGGATGTGACATCACAACATGCGACCCAAAAAAGGACAGAATGCTCAATGTATCATTTTCTTTTTGGTGCAGACCAGAACCCAGAGAACCAAACTGCAAGTGTGAACACACCCTGAAACACTGTTAAAGGCGTGATTGGTTGTTTTTTGTTTTTATAGTCACAGATAGATTTTAACCTATGATTGGTTGTTTTTTTTGTTTTTTTAGCGGCTGGAAGCGATGCTAACGTATGGATAATTATTTTCGGCGAGAATGGTGACACTGGAACACTAGTTTTGAAAGAAAGCAACAACACCAACAAGTTTGAACGCAAACAGACGGACACGTTCCGTTTCCCAGACATCCTCAGCTTGGGCGAGCTCTCGAAAGTGCGCATTTGGCATGACAACTCAGGTAGGCCAATCAGAGCGCTTAGCACAACACTAATGAGCCAATGAAATTAGTGATGAGCAAATTAGCCAGTTCATCTCAGGGTAGCTCTTTATATGTGTGTGTTTGTGTTGGCAGGTCTGGCTCCTGGTTGGCACCTGGAGTATGTGGAAGTGCATGATGACATCATGGAGAAGAAGTTTCGTTTCCAATGTGACCGCTGGCTCGCCAAGAAAGAGGACGATGGACAGATAATGAGAGAGCTGGCGTGTGCCAACAATGATGCTGTGGATTTCGATGAAAAAACCAGTGAGACAGACACAGTCTTATGAGTATCTCCACATAAATGTAGCTTAAAAACTGTTTGAGATGAGATTTGTAACAAATGTAAGAGGCTTCTTTCAAAATCATCAAAAAATCTTACTGACCCCAAAATTTGCCATGCGTTTTGCTTTCTGCCTCGTACAGAATATGAGATTCTGGTCAAGACTGCAGATAAAGATGATGCTGAAACCAAAGAGAACGCCTGGATCGTTCTAGAAGGGAAAAAGGGACGCTCCAAAGAATTTGTTATGGAGAACTCGACTAAGAAGAAGCGTTTTTTGCGGTAGGTGTACACATTGGTGAGGGGATGGGGGGTGCATTATTTTCTTGTTATCACTGTAAAGCTGCTTTGAAACAATCTGTGTTGTAAAAAGCGCTATATAATTCAGTCCCTCCAGAAAAACGCGATTATACGATCACATGATTTAGTGCATAATCAGACAAAGTCCGCATATTTATGCGGGGCCACATTTTTTCAAATATGCCGCACTTTCTCTGCATAAATTGCCAATTTCCGTGCAAAATATGCGGGGCTTGTATGATATCATAATATTTGCATTTTCGTTGCAAAAAAAATTGCTTCACACGAGCAGCCGTTTCCCCCTGTTGCCAGGGGAACGTTATGAAGTGACGTAATTGCGCGACTTGAACATTATCGAAAAGCTGTAAAGCAGGAGCACACTTATTTATATTATATTTTATTTATTAATTTTTACAGAAGTTGTTGCCTATTCCTTTTGTAAAGCTACAGAAGTTGTTTGACTCATCAATGTTTTGTAAGTTTGATGATTTTATTAAGGTCTGAAATAAAACTAAAATGAGAAAATAAATATTCCCAACACTTTCTGTGATGTATATGCTTGCTTATCATAAGAAGTAATAAGAAATGACTCTTTACATTAAGGTTGTAGCCTAGTGAGAACAGGTTGTTGTTCACATTTTTTTCTCTTTTTCATGAAACCGCAATTTCATCGCATAGAATTGCATAAATATCCCACATATTCCATCGCTTTTTTCAGGAAACAGGCTGCATAATCAAGGATTTTTGCCCGCAACAATCCACCTTCCCCAGCTCCACCGCTTTCACTTTCTGTAGTGAATAATGGAGTGGGGTTTGAGACTTCATAACTCTTGAGCAAAGTTTGCACATTGCTTGTGTGATATCCACTGGCTCTCCTTCATGGTTTAAAATGGAAATATTTCAAATACTGTGCAAAAATTTCATGCAACAATTGCTCGCAAAACGATGGTCAGCAATTTAGATTTTGCACGTGTCATTTCCGTGATAAAACGAATGAAATTATTAAATAAATGAGCAGGACCCCACCAAAAGGGTGTCCTCGGTTAACATGCATCATTCTGTGTAATGTGTGATTTCAGAGGCTCTTCAGACCGCTTTGAGTATTCCTCCAAGGAGTTGGGAGACATCGCTAGTATCTGTCTGGGACACATCCCTAAAGATGGCAAAAAAGTCAAAGTTGAAGCCTCCTGGTTTGTGGAGGAGGTTGTTGTCACAGAGAAGGAGCTTGGCAATAAGTGAGTGATTTTAAGAGTAGTGTTGTTAAATATGATTTAAACCTTTAGGATCTGAGTTATTGTCCAGTAAATGCTATACCGTACCTGTCCGTTTCCACTCAGGTACATCTTCCGATGTGATGCCGCCATCCCTCTTTCCTCAAAACGAGACGAGTTTCAGACATTCGAGTGCAGCAAATTCATCGAGAGCTTCACCAGCAAGGCCCAAAGCCTTGTACCCGTGAAATACGAGGCCATTGTTATTACAGGCGACGAAAAGGGCGCAGGCACCGACGCCAACGTCTTCATCACCATCTTCGGCACCAACGGCGACTCCGGCCGGAGGCAACTCTGCCAGAAGTTCAGGAACCTGTTCGAGCGCGGCCAGACCAACCGGTTTATTCTGGAACTGCTGGACATGGGCGACCTGCTCCGCGTGTCTGTGGAGCACGATAACTCCGGACTCAGTCCCGGTTGGCTCCTGAGCAGGATCGAAATTACGAACACGGCCAATGGTGTGACGACGATATTCATTTGTGGGAAATGGCTGGACAAGAACAAAGCAGATGGGAGGATAAAACGTGTGATCTATCCAAAGTATTGACATTTAATCCACCAATCAGTGGTTAAGTCAGTATTAGTAATGACACTTCATTACATGACATTCTCAGATCAACAATCCTGTCATTATTTACTCACCCTCATGTTGTTCCAATCCTGTAGAAAACAAAACATTTGAGTTTTGGAGCAACGTGAGTAAGCGAATGATGAAGGTTTTTTTCTTTTTGGTAAAAAGGTTTTAAAGTATGTCAGGTAATACTGATATATGGTTTGATATTTTTTCCCACTGAAATGAATCGGAAGAACCAGTCTTCATCTTAATGGCAGCTGATTTTTTTAAAGTATTGTCTCAGGAACAGTTTGAGAAGGTGAGTGAAGGAGAGTTGGAGGAGTTTCGGAATTTACACCTTTACTTTTAACTGGCCAATCAAATACACTCTGCATTCGGATCATATGCATTGCTCAGACTGTTCAAGAAAATAGCAGGATTTTGTTTTCATGATCACTCAGCCTCTTAGGATTCCCCCTCAGCTCTTCTCAGATCACTGGGAAAACTCTGAAATGGAACATTCACATCTCTCTCATATCTTCCAGAGTGCCACTTTCCTGTACATGTCACCAAATGTGCCTCAAAAGAGTTTTAATGGATGTGTGAAAGAATATGTTTTTATTTTGTACATTTACCTCTGTGAGGCAGTAAGGAGTGCATGTGTGTGCAACAAGGTTTGTCCAGTAAAACTCAACCCTGAATCCACTGCTTCACTTTTTGATTCATCTTTACTCTGGTCTTCAGTGTCACATGATCCTTCAGAAATCATTCTAATATGATGATTCGCTGTTAAAGAAACATTTCTGATTATTTTCAATGTTGAAAACAGTTCAACATTGAAACCACGATACATTTCTTTTCAGGATTCTCTGATAAAGTTCAAAATAACAGCATTTATTAGAATTTAGAAATATTATCTTTCATAACATTATAAATGTCTTTACTGACACTTTTGATCAATTTAATGCATCCTTGCTGAATAATAGTATATATCAAATCATATCAGAAATAAACCACTCAAATGGGCTTTTTATTGCTGCAACACATTACAAAATAAACTAAATTTAACTTCTGGAAGTAGAAACAGTTGAACAGCTGTGTGTGTGTGTGTGTTAAGTGCTTTTGGTCACATTTCATCCACTCTCGCCAGAAAAACAAGCCTTTGACATCACAAAAAATAAAGTTGGATCCCCTAGTGAAGTATGAATTTGTGTATCTCTCAGTCGGCTCCCTCTGTGGTGACTGTAGACACGGCAGTGATGTAATAGGGTCCCTCGTTCATGTAGGTTCTCAGCTTTAAGTAATTGTGCGCTCCAAAGATCTCCTGAGCGCTCGAGGAGCTCAACAAGGCCCTCACCAGCTCAAACTTGCAATCCTTGGCTTCTTTTCCCTTCCCCACTGAGCGATCCATCACCCACTCCAGGAATCCAGGAGTGTCCATCATCAGCTGCTGACCCCACGGCTGACAGCCAATGGCCTGTACACAGAACCGTGCAGAACACAACGTAAGCATGTGTTTTATGAGATCACCACACACACACAACGTCAGCAGCGTTTGGATTAACCGATCTGTGCTTGCAGTCGGGGGAGGTCTTGAAAACGCTGACGTGAAGGTTATACACTTTCTGCTTCCTGCAGTGACACTCGAGCGGAGTCTGTGTGCTTTATCACACATGAAGTGAATTAGATGCAATGTTTGTCAAACACAGACGTTTTCATGTAGCAAGAGAAGCGCTTTTCAAGCAAGCGATTCTTCATGTACTGCTTAAAGTCACCATGAAATCAAATTTGACAATTGTTATTTATGGAATATTGGAGTGTTTATTATAAATGATTTATCCGTGCACATTTTTTTATAAATTCATGTGCCCTTGTATCCCCCCTCTTGCAATGACATCTGTTTTTTTCTCTGATGATGCGTTTACTGGCACGAGGGCAGGGCAACCTGTCACTCACATGAGGTTGACCAATAGCAAACCACAACCTTCCAATCAATTCCCCATGTACAAAATCAAGTCCCGCCTTACATTTGTTGTTCAAGAAGCTGTTTCACTGAGATATTCATCAAAATAGGGAAGAAAAGACTATCACAACTTCCATGATTTTTACAGTAGATCATAAGCAACCTGTGAAGGAGCTGTTACGTCCTCAGACTTGGATTTATGCCTTTCTATGTCAACATTATCAATGGCGAAATGGTCAGAGCTCTCCAAGTTGTTTTTGTTCATTATTATTGTAATGTTATGTGTTTTGAGACATCAGGTAATTTAACGCCGTCTCTCGTGACACTTTGCAGACTGCTGTGTGTGATCATGTGTTTTGGAGGAGGCGTGGCTTTAGAGACGCTCTGAAGGGAGGGTGGGATCTCATGCTTTTAAAGCTTGCTCGCTATTGCCATCCTCTACGAAATAGCCTGTCCTAGCTTTAAGACTTTATTATACCGTTTCAGATATTAAAGGGGCACTTGGCAACTATTTCAACTTAATAAAACCGTTTAGAAATCATTTGAATGGTGACTTTCTCCGCTCACCCCAGCATCCCCAGGCGGAAAAACAACCTTGCAACATGGGGACTAACGTCCCAGTAAGTTGGAAATAGGAAGTCTCGTGAAAAGCAACAGTCACATGAGCGGAGGTAGAAAGCGGGTGGAAGGCGCCGCAAGTGAGGGTTTTTTTTGACAGTGTTGTGAAAATATACACCACACAGCTGTAGGGGGAGCTCGATGAGGAAACATGCGACAACAAAAGTTAAAATCAGTGAAGAACTGGCTAGAGTTGCCAAGACTTTAAAGACTTTTTATTGCCTTAAATTTGATCCAACTGAATTTAAGACATTTTAAGGACCAGCTTGATGAATCACACCACAGTGATGTCACGTGGAGTCGGTGGTGGCTCAAATCAGCCATAAACATACAAACAAATCAGAACATACTCTAACATCACCCCAATTAGCCTTTTTATGCACCATTCTATACCATTTTGTAATATAAATAGTGCAAGTTGTGTGTTCACAATTAATTTTTCAAAAAATAAAAAGTGCACTTTAAATATGTACAGTACATTGTGTATAGTGCCTCATTTGTAACAACTCACAGTGAAGATTCGCAGCGCGCTGCAGTGGAGCTCTGGGAAGGGTTGTGTGCTTATGTTCCGTATCATCGCCATCGGCTGAGAGCTCAGACAGTTAAACCACGACTCGGTCAACAGTAACAGGTCATCCGTCTGCTGCTCCACCTACACAAACCACAGATATTTCAGCTTCACAGGAACATCTGAAAACAGATCCCGCGCCTATGAGGAAACACCCGCACACACACTTACAGGTAACGTGAGCAGCTGCGCCAGAGCCTCCAAACATCGGACTCGGAGTTCAGTGGCTCCCTCAAAGGCCACTTTACTGATTCTCTTCAACACCGACGTGAACTTCTCACCTGAAGAGTTACAAATATTTCAGAGTTCACAGTTACTAGTAGGGCTGTTTATCAAAGCAGATTTGCAGATTCAATTCAGTAAGATTCTGATTCGCAAGCTTTTGATTTGATTCATTTAAATGTATGCATTTAGCAGAATCTTTTCTCCAAAGTGACTTATAAAATCTCAATTTACTTCTGAGTCAGGTTAATTTAAAATTAATTTTCTCTTAGATAACATTGTAAATTATACAGAGAATCTTTTAAATTGGTACATTAAAAAATACTTTAAAATAATTTACAACAGGGCCCAAATTTTACAGTTCAATTTCTATTAGTTTAACAAATAAATAATCAACAACCAAAAACAGCTAGTAAACTTGAAATTGCAATTCTCATATATAAATTATATGATAAAAAATTATAATCTTTTCGATGGTCTAGTCAGGGTTTCAGATACTTGGGTGTCATCCTTGAAAGAAAAAAAAGAAAGAAAAGAAACTATTGTGAAATTATAAACTCCATTTATAAACTCCCATGAAAGAATATAGAAAGTTTGCATCTATAAAAGAAGCGGCTAATAAGAGTCATTTGTTTGTGAATCGTTTGTGAAGAGTCATTTGTTTGTGAGGCTGCATCCTTCGAAGGCTGATAGTGTCCCAGCGGAAATTTCTGGATTACACTTACATTACAGTGTAAGTATTGAATTTCAACTTACTTGAATATCTAATGCTATGTAACTACAAAACAATTAAAGCGGATCAATTATTGACATATCTTACAAATGCGATTTTATATAGTACATAAATGGACTTCGGTGAACATTAGACAGGTTGTGAACCCTGTTTTGTTTTCAGACAGCTTGATGTAACTTTAAAAAAGAAAAATTCCAGTACAAACATTACTAGTGTCCGTCAACGACAGCTGTGGCAAGACCAAACACTCAGCCCGAACTTCACATCCTTTGAATTCATGTCGTTTGAAGTCTGTGTCTTTGGAAGGATGCAGCCTCTGAATTGGGACACAGCTATTAAAAGCAGGTCTGAATCAGAGCCATGACTCACTTTGAATGGCCTATTCTGAGGGTGCGTTCACTAACACAGTTACCTGTTTTATGCAGGACCTGTTTACCCTCCACGGTCACGCCGAGCACTCCGAGCGTGTCAAGGGCAACAGGGGTCAGTGTGGGGTCAAGGTTCATCGCCATGGAGAAGACCACCTCGAGGAATACTGGGTACTTCTCGCAGACCTGCTGAGGGCTATCCATGATCGCCAGACTGCCAAAAAACTTCACCAGACCTATAACAACAACAATAATACATATAAATATTCTACTTTTTCTTATGTTTTTTTATTGTTATTTATTCTAAATATTTAAAAATTGTTGAAAATAGTTTATATTCAAATATGAAAAATATGATTCATTAATTATTATATATTTTAAGTATGATTGAAAATGTTATGTAAATTGTTGAATTTAAATTGTCTATATTTCAAATGCTGAAAACTTAAATATTATTTTTCTTCTTACATTTTTAGAATTTTGAATTTACATTACATTTCCAATAACATAAGGATTTAAAAAGTATAATATTTTATAGTAATATTAAAATTTGTAGCATTTATAACATTTATATTTAACATCTTCCATGACATTTCAATGATTACAGGATGAGATCTAAAAAATACATAATAATATTAATAACAACAGCAAAAACAATATTAATAATAATAACAACAAAATTTTTCAGCAATTTGAATATAACCAATTTTTACTGATCAATTTCCATGACATTTCCAATGATTACTGTATAAGGATTTATAGATCAATAGTAGGGCTGTCAAACGATTAATCGTGATTAATCGCATACAAAATAAAAGTTTGTGTTTACATAATATATGTGGGTGCACTGTGTATAATTATTTTGTACATATATAAATACACACACTTGCATGTATATTTAAGAAAAAATATTATTTATATATAAAATATTTATATTTATATATAAAATAAAGTATATATAAATCTATACAGTATATACATGAAAATATTTCTTAAATATATATATATAAGCATGTGTGTGTATTTATATATATAAAATAATTATACAGAGTGCACCCACATATTTTATGTAAACACAAACTTTTATTGTGAATCGCGATTAATCGTTTGACAGCCCTAATCAATAGATAGATACATTCACTCTCTCACACACACCTGGAAGGTAAAGGCTTGAGAGGGCATCGGATTCTGCTGCGATTATCATGTTGGAGATTTTATCCATGATGCCTTGCTGTGCCAGATACTGACGGCCATGTTGACTCTGAGCCAGATTGGTCACCATCTCTATAGCAGTTGCTCTGGAAAGAGAAGAGAGAAAGTTTATCTCTGCAGGCATAAATGTGTCATAGTATATATTGTGTGTGTGTGTGAGAGATCATTACCTGACCAAAACATCATCTCCAGTCAGTTCTTCCAGCAGCTGTGAGAGTAAACTGCTGTTGGCGCAGTAACCCAGAGACACTGGAGACACTGTGGACACTTCCACGATCAACTGGACACACACAGCAGATTAAGCTCCAATCTCTCATAAAATTCACTCCTTTCACATGTCGATTATCACGCACCTCATAAACTCTGTATCTGATGATGTCACTGGTGTGCATCACATCCTTGAGCTTGTTCAGCAAATCAGAGCGGAACAAAGCATCAAGCCCCGCCTTCGTGTTGCTGAGTTTACTAAGAGCAGCTATCGCCTGACAAGAAAACATGTTTAATATAATTCACAGGAAAAAAAGTGTTTTACTGTTTTCTTTCTGCCTGTTTGTCCGTCTCTGTACCTCTTTGGCCACGGCGATGCGTTCAATGCTGATGCACTGAATCACATCACACAGGATTTCCACGCTGTTCAGCATCTGTGTCACTCCATCAGCGTGACCAGCCACACGGCCGATCTGTGGACGCAGACATACAACGGATGGATGAATGAAAGATCAGCCCATATTTTGGAGTAAACTTGTGTAGAGTGCAACAGTAAATGAATTCCCATTCATTTACTCCATAGGGAAATTGACTAAATAATAACTTGGAAACTTTTAAAGACAGACTGTGTGCTAGGAAGTTTTTAATCAATGGTTTATGCAGACATCGGCCTGCATTTTTAACATATTTTTTAAATAATCGTGTTTAACAGCAGAATTCCTGGTGAAAAACGTCATTACCCATAATTCTGCAAAGAAATCTCCACCTTATAGACCATATATGCACCAGAGAAACGAGGGTGCCGCCATCTTTAGAATATTGTCTTTGAACTTCCATTTTTTGCGGTCACTCTGTATATCTCTATGGCATTGCTGACCAGGAGTAATTAGCTTTTGAAGTGGATTTACTTAAAGTTATCATGAGGATTGTAATGTTCAAAGCAGATGTCTTAAAGTAGACCGGGAAGATTTTAAAATGAGCGGTTCACTCATAAATCTGCAAGATCAATATGAAAATACAGACCGGAATTTCAGGCAGGCTACATAAGGTCTATAAACCTTTGAAGACAGCCGGACTGTGAGCTACAAAGTTGTTAATCAATGCTATTTGCTTCTGTCAAAGCCATTAGCTCGCATAATTTCAACTAAACAATATATAATTGTGTTTTACAGTGGAATTCATGGTAAAAAAAACTACATTGCACCTGCACCACTGACCTGTGTGAGGGTGAGCACTTTGACCGAGTCATCCGGATGGTTCAGTCCACTCTGCAGCGCCGTCTTGTAGTTCTGAACCAGCTGGACGGGATCTAAAGCCTGGAGGACACGACTCAGGATTTCCACACACACCTCGATCTGCTCTCTAAACACAAAACAGTCCGAATTTCGTATTAGATTACATTTTCCACCCTTTCCAGGTTCATTTTTTTTTTGCCATAAAATGGATTTGTACAGCAGTTGTAGTGGCACTAATAGGACTACTGACTCTGTAAGTTAACTTACCCATCCTTCCAAGACAACTAATGGTCTAAAGCACATTAGAAGGCACAATGTCACAAAGAAATGTCACAAATTTACTGATTAATTTACTTGTCAAGACACACATGTGAACTGAAAACCATCAGGGTACTCGTGAATCTGATGAGAGAATGTCATGAGTGTGCCAAAACTGTCATCTAAGCTAAAGCTAAAGGTAACTACTTTGGACAATCTAAAATATAAAACATTTTCTGGGTTGTTTTACACTTTTTGTTTACTACATAATTCCACACGTGTTCTTTCATAGTTTGGATACCTTAAGTATTAATTTAAAATATTGAAAATTATAAAAAAAAATAAAGCATAAACACTGAAGGAGAGTTCAATCATATGCATCAGTGTGCAGTCTGTAGTATTTATTGTGCCCGTTGACTCAGCAGTCTATCAACACTCACTTGTCATTTGTGTTTAAAAGCCCAAATATGATCTCCAGTCGTGCTCCAGACACCACCTGCCTCAACGCGCTCACGGGCGTCGATAAAAGGACCGTCCGGAGGCTCTTGAGCTCCTCGATAGGATCTTCTGATGCACAGATTTCATTCAGCAGACTCTCTATAGGCGCCGCCATCATGCTCCAATGTTTAGGTCACGTGACCGAGGGGCGGGAAACATTATCCTAGGCGCATTTGCATACCGTTTTGAGCAGAACGGGTGGTAATCTGAATGAGAAATAAATAAATCATTACAAAATTGACTATAATATAATATAAAATAAATTTTTTCCCACATTTTAAAGTAGGGATTAACTGTTTTTTTTTTGTTTGTTTGTTTTGCCGGAAACTACGGATACCACGAGTCAGTCCACGACTGTCACTAAAGCTGTGTAAAGGTAAGTTACTTAGTGCAACAATGGACGATGTGTAAATTCAACAGTATGGCAAATATGTAACTTAGTTTGACATGTAAATCAACTCCATGTAAATTAGCTTGTTTCTAATTTATCTTAATGTTTGTTTGTTTTTTACACAGGAAGTTTTAATAAGTAGGCTACATATTTGGGAAGTCTCTCGCCAGTTTTTCCACAGGTGGACGTCAATTCAGGTAACGTATAAACGCTCCGTATTTTATTTTATTGTATAACATATGTGTTCGTACATCTACACAGCTTTAAAGTCGTTCGCTCTGGCATCTGTGAAGTGAGTGTGTTCCTTGTTTTCAATATAAACACATTCTCCCGCACTAAAAGCGGATTTGATTGTGAGCAGACAATCTGTACTTCCCTTTACTAGCCGCTAGATGACGCCATTGGGGCTTAGTGTTAACACACACACACACACACACACACACACACACACACACACACACACACACACACACACACACACACACACACACACACACACACACACACACACACACACACACACACACATCTACAGTATATGTACATACAGCAGCATTAGCATGAACCAAAACCATGTAAAAGCACCATAGTAGTATACTCTTGAACCATATAATAATATCACATTACCTTTGTGCTAGTGAAGGCTCTAATAAAAATGTATTTATATTCGATTTAGTTGGGTCTGTATCTCCAGGTATCAGATCAGAACATCATCATATTTGGTGTTGGGACTTGAGTATGTTGAATGTGTATATTTCTCCTTGTGTGATGTTTGTATTTGTATGTCTCTCCACACCAGTGTTTGTGGGCTATGTGAGTGTGTGCGGTGCGTGCCGACCTATTGCTGGGTATTGAGCAGTAATCCCTGTTAGGCAGTGGGGAATGTAGGCCGAGTGCCAGTGGATAACTTCAGGATCATTCTGGATTATTCCACACTGGCAGCTCCATTTAATGCCAGCTTCGCAAGTGCCCATCCACAGAGCTTCTACTGCAGGAGAAAATGTCTTAAGATACACATACACTACCATTCAAAAGTTAGGGGTCTGTAATATTTTTTAATGATTTTGATTGACTCTTTTTATTTTCTAAATTTTAAATCTTTTTTAAAATTTAAATTATTCCTGTGATGGTGATGGCGTAGTGTATAAGACATGCCTTTGGTGTGAGAGACGTGGGTTCGAATCCACTGTGAGACACCAATGTGTCCCTTAGCAAGACACTTAACCCCTACAGAGGCGTGCGACCTCTGACATAGCAATTGTACGTCGCTTTGGATAAAAGCGTCAGCTAAATGAATAAATGTAAATGTGATCTTTGTGAGTCTTTAGTGTCACATGGTCCTTCAGAAATCATTCTAATACTGATTTGATGCTCAAGAAATATTGTGAAAGTTGTGCTGCTTCATAGTTTTGGAAACGGTGATAGTATTTTTAGGATTCTTTGATGAATTGAAAGTTCAAGAACAATATTTATTTAAATCTCATAAAACATGCATGTTTTTATTTTCCCTTTTGATCATTTTAATACATCCAGGTTTATAAATATAGACATAGATGGATATATACAGACAGATAGACTGATGCTAAGATGTAAGATGTTAGGGTGTTCTGAGAGTTTTTAAAGCGTTACTATGTGGTTGCTATGCTGTAATGTGTTGTTGCTAGGTGAGTCCTCACTGACCCGAGTCGAAAGATTCAGCTCCCAGTCCCAGTGCTGCAGTAGCCGTGGCCCGTTAGGCTTGCCGAGTCCATACAAGCTGTATTTGTGCGTCTGCATTTGGCCTCCTGACTTTGCATTAATTATGGGTGGGATACTCCTGTTTACACACACGGATCAAACCATCTCAACCGTGTTTGTGGAAGAGACTTAAATCAATGGCCTTACTGATGAACTTCACTCTCGGCCTTTACAAAGAGTCTGTATGTCTATGAGCTGTCCACTGATTCTGTCTCTTCTGTCCTTGTGCATTCTTGTAGAATATAGAAATCTTTTTTTTTTCACATCCGTGTGTTAAAGCTTCACCTGCTTTAGTTTAACTGTGTGTGTGATTTCACTATGAGAGCATCATGCCATTTTTTTTTTAGAAATAGAGAGGAGAATACAAACACACACACACAACACACACATAGTTCTGCCTAAATAGACCTTCGCTTCTGAGAGTGTTTCAGAGCAGGTCATCAATAGACTCCCTGTTCCTCTGTGGTAAAATGAGATCCTACACACACAGATGCACAGAAGTTTAACCTCAGTCCATGAGCAAAAATAAAATGGCAAAGACCCACCTTCTTTTCTGAAAGACATTACAGTCCCAGTGCCACACACACACACACACACACACACAGATATTATGGTAATAGAACTAAAATAGTTGCTGTTGTTCACGTCTCATTTCTTTTGGATTACAGCGTTAGCGTCACTTGAGTGTACACTCATACCACCATTACCATAATGACTCGATTAGGGCATTCGTTGATTCGGTTTAACAGTTTTTGGATGGCATATGTTTCACTACACACACTAAGTTGTTTAAACTTCAAAATAACAAACCAAATAGTAAACAGATGAGACTTGATGGCGTATGTTTAATCCAAGTAACAGCTTTGTCTCAGGCATATATATATATATGTGTGTGTGTGTATATATATATATATATATATACACACGTATACAATACGTATATGCATGTATGTATATATATATATATATATATATACGTATACAATATGTATACATTTTTATATATCAAGGATGCATTAAATTTATAGATAAAAAATGACAGTAAAGACACGTTTGTTACAAACAAATCAATTTATAGGACTTTAAATGAATGCTGTTCTTTTGAACTTTCTGTTTCACATAATAAAGTTTCCACAAAAATATTAAACTGTTTTCAACATTGATAATCAGAAATGGTTCTTGAGCCTCAAATCATCATATTAGAATGATTATCAAGGAAAAATAATAAAGACATTAAAGAGATCTCAATTGTGATGTTTCTTTCGTATGGGATATCCTGACATGTTGAAGCATATACAGCAGCCTCTCATCTTCCATTTCCTCTCTGTGGAGTCATAGTGGCCCGTTGTGAACCTCTACACAGCACGCGTGTGTCTATTTGTCGGCCTCTTTTGGGTGGACTCATTTCTTGCTCTGCAACGGGCAGTTATTTTGGGCTCCCAGACTGAGGCGCACTGTGTCACTGCTGAATCTGTATTTACGCTTCTCTGATTGGCCTATTTTATTTGTGTTTCTCTCACTGGTCAGCTTTATTTGTCGATGTTTGACCGGCTGTGTTTTTGTGTTTGTTTGGCGTGTTGTGTTAGCTTGATTTGTGTTTCCTGCCGTACGGTGAAGAGAAAAAGAGTCGGCCTATTTATTTAGTCTAAAAGGCAATTCGTTTTCAATCCTAAATGAGTTTAGATTCATGAAAGTTCATTTGTTAATTCAGATTGATCAAGCACTTCAGATCAGTCACTGCATGTTTTGGAGCAAACAGATCAGACAAAAGACATGCAATACTGATGTGTGTACTGACTTAAAAATGAGCTGAAATTAAAGGGATACTCCACTTTTTTTGGAAATAGGCTCATTTTACAAACTCCCCCAGAGTTGAGTTTTACCGTTTTCAAATCCATTCAGTCGATTTTCTGATAATTAGAAGAATATCAATAACCAGACGGTTTCTGGTCTCATTGACTTCCATAGTAGGAAAAAATATATACTATGGTAGTCAATGAACATTCAGTGTATTTAAGGAATAATTCCCCCAAAAATGTTTTAAAAAAAAAATGTATCCGCTGAGACTCGTGTCAAAACAGTTCTATGATGAGAGAAAAAAACGGGTATGTTTTAGCACTTTAGGATCACATCTTATGGTATCATGTACTGTTTTGGTTTGTTTAGGTGTCTTTGGTCAATGTTGTGTTCATATTTCATTCAAACCCCACCAGAGTTTGTTTGGAGGAGGACCGAGACCCATCTCTTTACAGGGGCCTCGGCCTGCTTGTTTGGCGCCGGGCTTCAGATGGCAGTGTTCACACTTATTCAAATGAACCGCACTAACAGAGCAATCGCACAGAGCTAAGAGCTTGTTTTAATTGAACCAAACTTGACAAATGTGAACAAACCCTTAGTCTCGGATAGATGAATGCCAGGTAAAGTAGATCAATAGAAGCTAAAATATTTCACATAAAAAGAAAAAGTAAATGATGAAAAGAAATACTTCTATGAATACAATTAAGTGACACAACTGAATGTGAAATTCACTAAAATGAGACTTCTTTTTGAGAAGATAGATTGATTGATTGATTGATTGATTGTTTGATTGATCAGACCAGAGTCACACTCAGTTCCCAGACTGAGACAATCACGTTTCTGAAAAAGGGACATATTGATGTCATTGTGTGAATGTGGGTCAGGATAGAAGTTATAAGGATAGAGAGAGACTGAGGATGATTTGTTTTGTTGATTTGTTACATCCAGCTAATGAGAGTCTTCCAAGCAGATGTCCATACAAATGAATACAGTTTATGCACAAATAAGCGTACACATGCATAGCACTTCACATTTCAGAAATATTTAGCATTACACACACACACACACAGTGAAACTTTTCTCTGCTGTGGAGTTTCCCATCGGTAAACCACACACACATGTCCGCATATATGAAGTGAACGATTGTTAAGAATAAGAAACACACTTTTTTTTTACACGTGTTAGGTCACAGAGAGGAAAGACTATTGCTCTCACTTGGAT